GTCAAAGATGATTTCCCAATGTTCTTTCTTAAACTAGTTTTTACACTGCGAACTAAACGTTCATAAAAACCGCCCCACCAGGCAGCACGTTCCACAATGTATTTCCATGTGATTCCATGCGAAGCATAAAATTTTTTAACTTCAGGGTGGTTAATCACTTTCCACATTTGCTTTAATTCAAGTTCGGCTCTTTTAAATGTTCTAGCATTGTCCGAGTACACAGTGGAACACAAACCTCTTCGGGATACGAACCTGCGGAACGCAAGTAAAAATTCTTCAGTGCTCATGCCTTTTACGAGCTCAAGGTGAATAGCTCTTGTAGTAGCGCAAGTAAACAATAAAATGTAGTATTTGTTGTCATTTTCTTTTACATACAAAGGACCTGCAAAATCGAGTCCACAAATTGCGAAAGGTGGAGATTCATTAACTCTATCCGCTGGAAGAGGTGCAGTGATTTGTTGTCCAGGACGTACATTATATTTTTTGCATATTAAGCATTTACTCAGGATTGATTTGACGTATTGTTTTCCTCTTAAGAGCCAGAATTTTTCACGTATATGCACTAGAGTATCCGATACACCCGCATGATAAACCTTTTCATGAGCGTCTCGTACTACTAATTCACTTAATTTATGTTTTGAAGGGATTACTATTGGATGTTTGTTGTTAAATAGTAGGTTTGACTTTTGTAACCGACCTCGTACCAAAAGTAGACCTTCATCTGATAATATGGGATTTAATTCGAACAATTTTGAATCTTTTGGAATATGCTTGTTTTCTCTTAGAGACTCTATAACTTCAGGAAAACTATCTTCTTGAGCTTGTTTTAACCAAAAGGTTTCAGATTTACTGATTTCTTCTGCTGAAATTTCCGCAAAATTTCTATTTTCCCCCTTTTTACTTTTAAATTTGATATAAATCTGAAAATCCAAGCAGTCACACGATAAAGTTTTTTCAAGGAACTAAATTTTGTCAAATTCATGAGTGGAACATTTTCAGTTTTGTCTGTTTTGATCAAACACGCTAGGATAGCTTCCGATTTTCGAGATTCTTCTGATACATCATGTAATTTTGACGTCGATAGTTTGGGTTTTGGCCATTGACTTTCAGGTAACGAAAGAAATGCAGGGCCATGCCACCATTTCGAAGAATTTATCAGTTCTTTTGCAGAACAACCCTTTGTTATTAGATCTGCAGGGTTGAGTTTTCCTTCGCAATGTCTCCATGAACAAGGATCTGAAATTTCATGTATTTCTGAAATTCTATTAGCAATGAAAGGTTTCCATCTTTTAGCTGTACCTTTAATCCAATGTAGAACTATTTCCGAATCTGACCATAAAATGACATTTGAAATATGTAGAATATTTTTCAGGTAGTTGGCAACCCTAGCACCCACCAGTGCTCCCATCAATTCAAGGCGGGGAAGCGTTAATTTCTTTAATGGTGCAACACGTGATTTTGCCAAAACAAATGTAGTTTCAAATTTATCTTCATCAGTTCTGTATCTCAAGTATGCGACTGAGCCATACGCATTCGGATTAGCGTCACTAAAAATGTGTAACTGAACAGTGTCCCTGTCTAAATTTGGTACATGAAAATAATATCTGGGAATTTTCAACATTTTAAGTTCTTTTATTTCAGAGAGCCATATTTTCCAGTCATTTTCGAGTTCTCCAGAAAAGATCTCATCCCAAGGTACCCCTTGAAGCCATAGCTGTTGCAATAAACATTTAATTCGAATTACAAAGGGTGCGATAAATCCAGATGGGTCAAAAATTTTGGCTGCTATTTTTAATACATTACGTTTGGTACATTCAGTGTTTATAGAGGACAGTAAGGGTGTTAATTCTAGTCCTAAGACATCTTCATCATTGTTCCATATTAAACCTAGTACTTTTAAGGATGTACATGGAGTGTCACTATTGAGAGAGATTAACTTTTCCTCAAGCCATTTCTGCTTAAGCTCTAGGGAATTGGTTTCGAATTTTCTTAGATTTAGACCTCCTTCAGCAAGAATTTTAACAGATTCATTTGATAGATTAAGCGCTTCTTCAACAGTTTGTCGCTCCAGAAAAGGGTCCACTTAAAAATTTGATCTGTATAAATTTTTTTAGAATATTTGGTTGCCGTTCTCGATTGCTCACTTTTTTTCCGATCATATTTATCACTGGCGCCTCTGGCGTCAACATCCAGTCCGGCCTTGGAATGTTACATTCAACAATAAATTTAGAACACAAGTTATAAAATACAAACACAACACTCCAAGATAATAATAATGATGGTTATACAATTATACAAACTCAAACTTGATAATTAACAAAAAATAACATTTATGTAACTGAAACTTTTTCATTAACAAAAGGCAAAGGTACAGTTTTTGTCATTGGCCTTTTATAGGTTCCATTTTTATCTTTAAGTGTCACAACTCGAATAATATCATCTTGACCTGGATGAGTTTTAATAATTTGTGCTAAATGCCACTTTAAAGGAGAGTAATTATACGAACCTTTTACTAAAACCAAATTTCCTTCCTTCATTTATACTTTTCCTTTATACCATTTAGGTCTATTTAAAAGTTTGTTTAAATATTCAGACGACCATTTTTTCCAAAAATTTTGATTAAATTTCTGAACCATTTGCCATCTAGTTATCCGATTTATAGGAATCTCTGTAAAATTAGGTTCAGGCAATGCAATTAAAGATGAACCAATAAGATATTGAGCAGGTGTCAATGCCTCTGCATCATTTGGATCATTTGATATGGGACAAAGAGGGCGAGAATTAAGTACAGATTCAATTTGAACAATTAGAGTAAAAAATTCTTCATAAGTTAGAATTGTTTTTCCCACCACCCGTTTCAAGTGATATTTAAGGGATTTCACACTAGCTTCCCATAAACCTCCAAAGTGAGGAGTAGAGGGAGGATTAAAATGCCAATTTATGCCTTCAGTAGCCAAATAAACTTTGATTTCTTCCTCACTTTTATTCTTAAATAAAGATTTTAAAATCACTCTTAATTCTCTATGAGCACCCACAAAATTTCTGCCATTATCACTGGAAATATCTGAGGGTTTACCTCGCCTGGCAATAACGCGTTTAAATGCAGCTATAAATGCTGCACTTGATAAATCATTTACAATTTCAAAGTGCAAGGCGTAGTGAAACTTACAAAAATATATACAAATACTTTTCTTACCTGTTTACTTCTACCTACAAAATTTTTTACCACAAATAGACCACAGAAATCGAGTCCTGTTTTAGCAAAAACTCTTGACATGGTCACTCTCGCAGCTGGTAAATCAGCCATCTGTTGCTGCACAGAGCTAAAATTTACCTTTTTACAAATCATACAATTAAATATAATTTTTCTAATTACATTTCTTGCAGAAACAATCCAAAATTTACTCCTTATAAGAGATAGGGTTGTTTCAGCACCTGCATGAAAATAAAGAACATGAAAATAATTAATCACAATTACAGTAAAATTATGTTTAGTTGGCAGAATCATAGGATGTTTTCTCATTTCACTTAAGTCACTGTTTTTCAGTCTGCCACCCACTCTGAGTTCTCCATCATGATCTAAAAATGGACACAAACTCAATAGTTTACTACGATTAGGAATAGGAGCACCCTTTTCTAAGCACTGGATTTCTGACACAAATGAAGTCCTTTGAACGTTTTTCACAATACACACTAACGCACTAGAAAGTTCACTGGTTGTCAACGTTCCGCGTGTAGCATGCAATGGATGCCAGGTGTTACGCAAGACTCTCTTGCATCAAGCCACTACTCTTAGCAATCTGTTGTAAGGTGAACAATTATTGATGACATCTAATTGCTCATAAGTGTTAAAATAAGTGCACATATTTCACTTACTGCTGGTAGTTTTAATTCGCGAAGATACAGTTCTTCGGACTCCTCAGGCATATCATCTTGACACTTAGTCATCACAGGTTAAAGAAGAAATGGGGGACCACGCCACCTCAGTTCACACAGTTGAAGTTTGACCGGATAAGCGCCTCTTGATATGAGATCCGCAGGATTCTGCTTAAATGGGACGTGATGCCACTGTCGCACCTCCGTCATTTCTTGAACCACTGCAACTCGATTAGCAACAAACCTTTTCATACAACAGGGCTCCTTTTTCAGCCAAGCCAAGACTATCGAAGAGTCACTCCAGAAAAATACATTATTCACATTAAGTTTCAAAGCAGATATTACTCGAGTCATTAACTTCGCAAGCAATACAGCTGCGCATAACTCTAACCTTGGTATGGTAACTTGCTTTATAGGAGAAACTTTTGATTTACTCGTTACCAGCCTTATCACCACTTCACCATACTGGGAGACGGATTTACTATAAACTACGGCTCCATAAGCTAACTCGTAGGCATCACAAAATTCGTGTAACTCAATAACAATTGCTTCTGCGACAAGAATGCATCTGTTAATTTCTAACTTACTTATATGTGGTAGTTCAGAGAAAAACCTTTGCCATTCTTTGGCTTCTTTATCAGGTAGAAGATCGTCCCAATTGAGCTTCAAAACCCTTAGTCTCTGAAAGAATATTTTTGCTTTAGCTATCACGGGACCCAATAAACCAAGCGGGTCAAAGATTCTTGCTATTGTTGACAAAACTTGCCTTTTAGTAATTTTAGACTCATTTTCTAGTTTCACTTTAAAATTAAAACAATCTTTGTCTGTTTTCCAGGAAACACCAAAGGCTGACACTTCATTCGCGCACTGAAATGTGTATTCATCATCAACGTTAACTGCAAACTCCGGATTGTTGCTACACCATTTGTGCAGAGTCATATTTGCACTTTTTAAAATCTCAATTAATTCACGCTGTATCTCTTTTGCCAACCTCAATGAAATGGACCCTGTTAGAACATCATCCATGTAAAAATCACTCTGTAGAACTGCAGCTGCTAATGGAAAATTTGTGAACTCATCTATAGCAAGCTGACGTAATGTTCTCATGGCTAAAAAATGTGCACTTACTGTGCCATAGGTGACCGTGTTAAGTCAAAAGTTTTAATTGGACCATTAATTGACTCTTTCCACAAAATTATCTGTAGCTGCCGTTGAGTAGGATGAATCGATATCATTCGGTACATCTTATTGATATCCGCTGTAAAAGCAGAAATATGTTTTCGGAAACGTACCATAATTGAAAACAAGTCCTCTTGAATTACACCACCATTACACTGAATTGAATTCAGCGAATTACCTTTTGATGTTGCAGTTGAAGCATTGAACACTACTCTCAAAGGTGTCGAACTTTTCTCAGGGCGATAAATACCAAGGTGTGGAATGTAATACTTCCCCTTTTGCTCATCTTCATCTTTCACTTCAGTCATGTGACCTAGTTCACTATATTCATGTAGAAAATCATAGTACAATAATAAGTAATTTTCATCCTTAATTAAACGAGTCCACAATGAGTTTAACGTCTTAAGCGAGATTTGTTTCGAATTCCCTAAACACATTGGATTTTCCTTAAACAGTATCTTGATTAAATATTTTCCAGTTTCAGTCCTAGAATAGTTTTTGAGAAAATGCTGTTCACAAATTTCTGCTTCTTTACTCTTAGAAATCTCAGACTCTCTTTCTACGTTTTCGATTTCCCAAAAATCTCTTACTGCTCTTTCTAACTCCAAATTATCTGTAATAAGCCCACAATGTAATTTACTTTCTCCTTTAGCAGGAAGAGTCCCACTTACAACATAGCTGAAAACACTATTTTGTAATCTTAAAGTTGGATCCTGAAGAAAATTTGGCCTGGTTTTAAAAGCTCATAGAAATGTTCTGCACCTATCAGAAATTCAATTGGCCTGGCTCATAAAATTTGTCATCTGCTAAATTGATATTATCTAAAGATGAAACATTAATTTCAAGAGGCCTAGAGAGCGTATATTCTGTTATTTTAGGAACAACCAAAAAATTTTAACTTAAATCGAAACTCTTGTCTATATTTAAAATAGTTGTACTAACTCTAGATTTTATATTCAAAGGCAAATTATTTATTCATGAAACAGAAATGTTACTCTTCTCTCCCTTTAATTGAAGCAAATCTGCTAACCTTTTGCTCATAAAATTTGAATTAGCGCCGACATCTAACAAACCTCTAACCTTACAAAAGTTACCCGATGCATCTTTAATTAAACAAACAAATGTGCTGAGTAAGACAGCTTGTAATTCATTCGCGCGATTGCACGTTGTTGATAATAAATTTTGATCAGTACTTGTTTTAGCCCTCACAGATTCAAATGATGGAGCCGAAGTGTCCAAATTTCAAGGAATATTTTTATTTTCATGACTCACCACCTGCGCAACTGTCTTTGTTTATTTTTTGTTCGAGAGGGAAATGGAGAGTCACGTGATGTTTCTTTTTACAAATACCGCAAGAGAATTTATTGCCGCAATTAATCACCTTATGATTTCCTAAACAGTTGAAACATAGCTGTTTCGATTTCACTAGCCCAACTCTATCGCTAACTGTCATGTTTTTATAAACTGGGCATTTGTACAAAGGATGAATTTCATCGCATGATAAAATACATTTCGAATTTTTTATATCATTTTGAAAATTCTTTGACATATTTTTAGGATAACTGTTTTTATTACTCAACCTAGAATTATCCACTACAGGTTTTTCTCTTTGATGTATAATATAAATCTATTTCCTTCGCCAATTCTACAGGTTTAAACCAAGAATTTCCTTGCCTTACATTTATAAAACACATAACCTCTTTATCAAGTGTTTGACATATTTTATCAGAAATCATTAATTGTTTTAATGTTTCAAAGTCTCAGTTTTTTCTCAGTTTCAAATAATAATCCCAACTCGTATTTAATCTAGAAGCGAACTGCACATAAGTTTCATTCGTCATTCGTTGTGTATGTTGTGGCTTGAACTTATACAGAAACTTTAAATACTGATTAATATCATTTTTGTTTGTTTTTTGCTGTTTTCAGAATGGCAACAAAATTATTATTCAGTTTTTGTTGTTTTGAGAATGGCAACAAAAAGATTATTCAATTTTCGTTGTTCTTGGAATGGCAACAAAAGATTACTAATGATATTGTTCTAAAGAGTTGTTTACATTTGATAAAAACGAAAATAAAAATTATTTTATTTAAAACTTGGATTGACGTTATTTGATGAAACAGAGTTGTAAAAATAAGGATTAATTTGGAGTCAGAGCCAATATGTCTTCCTAAAATTTTCTGAACAAATTTGGGGGGATGGTTCGAATTCTCTTTGCACTATTTCTTTAACTTTCGAATAATATCCTAATTCGTCGTCTTTAATGTAAGTAATAACATTTGTGGCTTTATCTCCCAACAAATTTAGAAGAATTTCCGATTTAAATTTCTGTGGAACACTTTATGAAATGAACGCCCTTTCTAACGATGAAAAGAGATAACCCCAACATTCCAATCTAATTGGAATTTTAGTTTTTAATGTGCGCATACTTTTAATAAGAGAGTCAAGAGATTCTACTTTTTCTCTTTTCTCATATTCTATGAGGCTTTCACTCTTTGATTCTGCTCGCAACTTAGCGAGTTCTAGTTCCTATTTCGCTCGTTCCGTTTTCAATTTCTCAAGTTCGAGCAATCGCCTCTCGTCACTTTTCCTTTCGTCGATAATATTATTAGCTATACCTTCAACTAATACAGGATCCTTCTTATAGCTTTCACTGTTTTTTAATTATATCAGTTAAATCTGATATAGTTTTCGCCTCTGAAATGTCTAAATTCAGCTCTACAGCAATACGCTGATAATCTTCTTTTTTTGCAATTTTAAAATTTTGAATCTACTTTTTCAATTACACAGTTATTACAATTAAGGCCACGTACCTTCTATTTAAGAGTAATCCACAAGTTTTCTTCCATAACACTTGTTATCCGACTTTGACACACAATTCGACCTCCGGACTGGATAGAACAAAAACAATGGGCCCGTCAATAGCTCAGTAAAACTCATAATTAAATAAATCACTTTACACAAAAACTCAAAAATGGACTGTATACTAAAATTTATTAATTACTCAAAAGCCGCATAGTTAGTTCACATCTCTCGGCGGCGTCTCAGAACACACTCAAAGCTCAATATAAGTGGCCGCAAGATGGCGCTATAAAAAACATCAGCGTCATCGTTTTAGAACACAAATATTACATATTTTTCACAGATGGCGCCTCTGGCGTCAACACACGTAAAAATTTTGAGTTAAGCATTTCAAAAATCTTAAAGTCAGAATTCTTGTACTTATCAATTAGCATGGAGCAATAACCGCTTACAGTTTTTTAGTTAGAATCCTTCTTAAGAAATTATTTGGTCTTTTACCAAAATTTTAGATCTTACTCATTGGGGGGAATGTGGCGTTCCGACAGATACTTCAACTTCTATTCATGAGATGGCGCCACGTGTAAAATCCAGTTCTTAATCGGAGCAGCAAAGCGACATCTTTACTCACTCAGACTTCTCGTCACAACTGTACGCGACGGTAGCATGAACTGTGTTCCGAGCTCTGTGTTGATCTCTGCAATGTAATTTAAATTGTAATTTAGTACTTAATATATTCTTTTGTTATAGGAGATTGTCTACTCTTATTTTCTTTAATTATATCATGCATTAAGCACACACGACCACCAAAAGTGGTGACCTTTTGACTGAGCACGCTACTGACAATGGATTTTCAACGACCCTAAGCCACGTGCATCCAAGGCATTCTGAAGAACTGACTAAAAATAACAATGAATATGGACATTAAACGTATGCTACAACGTACCCCTTCAATTATTTCTAGAAGTATTGATATATATTGCTTGTGTTTTTTTACAAAGTCGTGCATATCATCGCAAGGAGCTTCAGCAAATCATCAATGTGATCTTTTCCGTTCCGCTGACTTCGCCAGTCGTGCAATAATTCTTCGATCATTCAACTTTTGTGACAAATGTGATACAATAGTGATTTTCGCTAAATGTGCTACATCAGTAATTTTTCTGCAACGTGCTACGGCAAAATTCTTCCCTCAGTGTTCGAAAGTAGTGAATTTTTTTCCCATGTGCTACAGGAGTGATTTCCATTTTCCTTCGAAAGTGCCTTAGCAGTGTGAAGTGGTGATTTTGTGTGTGCGCAATACAAAATGAACGCATCATTTTTTTTCTCAAATAAGGGTTTCTTTTCAAATGCATTTCGGTAAAATATCATTTGTGTGTGTAATTGCTGACCCTGTCTTATTTGTGTGTGTATCGTTACGTAAATTTTTTCTGCATGGTTAAAATATTTATTGTTATCATGGTAAAATATCAATAGTGTATCCTCATGCTACAATATTTGTGCTGTTAAGTGTTTATTAATTAAAGTGAAAATTATCTATCAGTATGCCCGACGATATTCCACCAGAGCCACAAATCACACGCGTTGCGGTGAAGCCACCGCCTTTCTGGAAAAATAATCCTTCATTGTGGTTCGCTCAGATCGAAGCACAATTTTCTATCGCTCGCATTAGTGAGGATTCTACAAAATTCAACCATGTAGTTGCAGCAATTGAGTCTGATATTCTGAATTCAGTGCATGACTTAATTCTCAAACCACCTGATTGTGATAAATACTCCAAACTGAAACAGCGGCTCATTGAAATCTATTCAGAAAGTGAATCTTCAAAAATACGTACTTTACTACAAGGACTTGAACTTGGAGATCAGCGACCTTCATACTTGCTGTCACGAATGCGTGATCTGGCAGGAAGCCATTTTAGTGACGACTTGTTGAAGTCACTATGGCTTTCGCGTCTCCCTAATAACATACAAATAATTCTTGCTGCTTCCAATGAAGATCTAACCCGTTTAGCAGCAATGGCTGACAAAATTAATGAACTTGTTACTCCAGCTTATGTCAGTGCTGCTAATGCTGCACCTTCCAGTTCATCCCTCGAACAACAAGTGGCTGAATTGACCAAAAAAGTATCTGAACTCTCTACAAGTCTTCATGCTTCACGGAGATACAATCGATCAAATCAGGGCCCACGTAATAAATTTCGTGCCCGAAGCAGGAGTCAATCTCGTCACAATACTCGAACGCAGTACAAAGAACCCACAAGTGGCATATGTTTTTATCATATGAATTTTGGCTCTCAAGCTCGCAAGTGTGCCCCTCCATGCACTTTTGTACAAGCGGGAAACTAAATGGGCGGTCTTCTGCTGGCCAACAGAATGTCCGCCACATCGACAGAATAGTACTGGCTGATCGTTCAACTCAGTTATGTTTTCTAGTAGATACTGGAGCTGACATATCAGTGCTCCCGAGAACTAAAACAAATGCTCACCAACTTAATAAACTTGTACTGTATGCAGCCAATGGTACCCAAATTGCAACCTACGGCACCAAACTATTGACACTTGATTTAAACTTGCGCCGGACTTTCAACTGGCCTTTTATTATTGCGGATGTAACTCAAGCAATTATTGGTGTCGACTTCTTGACACATTTCCACCTTCTAGTGGATGTCAAGAATAATTGCTTAATTGATGCTACAACTCAGCTGACATCACAGGGCCAAGCTTCTCACATATCGAACGTACCTACCAACATAAGTGTTTTATCGGGCAGCAGCACACGGTTTCATCGGTTATTAGCAGAATTCCCTGACATTTTAAACCCATCCAAATCAGGGCAGCATACTCATCAGCCAGAAGTGTATCATCACATTGAAACACATGGCCCACCTGTATTTTCCAAGCCTCGTCGTCTTTCTCC